ATATATAACATTGATACAATTTACAACATGTCATGTGTGTAAGTGCATTAGTGTGTTTTGAAAATCTGTTTTATTTTATCTCTGCTGTAGGACCTCTTAACCGCCCGCCTCTCACTATTCGGCAAAGACATAATTTTTTTCATAAATATTATTGAAAGGTTGAAGGGGATGGAAATCGAATGTTTGAGGGGGGGGGGGGTGCAAATCTAAAGTTTGAGGGGGGGGGGAGGGGGGGGTACAAATCGAAAGTTTTGTCCCCGGGTGACGGGAAGGGTTGCTACGCCTCTGGAAGGAGTTTGTCGATTTAAAATAGGTGGTGCCCGCCACTCTACCGATATTTTAGAATGTGCTCTAGAGTAAAAAAAGGTTGGTAACCCCTGCTCTAGTCGGTCACAAGAATATAAAACATGAAAGCTTTGTATAAGTAAGGGTGTCTCGTGTTATGTTTATTTTTATGTTTTTTCGTACTTATATTATTCATTTTAAATACATTTTCTTTTTATACAATGTCATTCTTCAGTAAGTACTTTATTAAAAAAAATAACAAGAGAAGTAATTGTTTTTTTATTTGTTTAGTACAAATCTATTGAAAGGAGCTTAAGAGCACTCCATTTGGTTCATTAATAAAGGGAAATAAGTCATGGAAGTGGTTTGAACGTTTGCTTACCTATGATAAGTTTGTAGGAGAAAGAGGTCTCGGCTTTCAAAGTGGTTTAAAAACAAAGGGAAAAAGAATATACAATAGCGCCGGGTGCGTCTATACAATAAAGATAATCCAACCTCAGCTACGGTAATCTTTTTACAAAACAACCATCAAGTCAAAAATGAAAGAAAATTAAGTATTTTTAACTATAAAAAATGTATTTATGGTCGGCTGTTGGTCCCCTAAATGGCGTGGGGGCCCCCGCATTGCGGGGTCTGGCGGCACTGTAGTTCCGCCCCTGGGTTCCGTTTTTACAATATTCTATGGTTAATTTTAAATGCTCATACTTGTAATCGTTACTTTTGCGTGTTTTGGGCGAGACATCTTGTTTTAACAATAGGCAAATAGTGTTTGATGTGAAGTAGCCTTTTATACAATTTTTGGCCATCGCGCAGAACATAAGGTAAAAATAACTTTGATTTCCGTATTTAATACTATTTTGAAAATACACCAACTTATTATAACATATAAAACATTATATATTACGTCTTATTAAACAAATTTCATTAATTTAAAACATTGAAAAAAATGAATGTCAAGAACACTAGCAGACAGCACATTTGGGCAGATCGGTCAATCGCGTCCTAACAACATTTCTTGAAAATTAACCAACCGTATCAGTCATAGCACCGTAGCCATTTATTAACAAACTCTTTTTTTATCATTTTCTAAATCTCTATAATAAAAATTGGGTAACCGGACAAATGATCCCAGGACAAATTATCTCAGACAAAATATCTCACGGACAAAAGATACCAGGACAAAAAAATTCAGGACAAATGATATCATGGACAAATGATCTCAGACAAAATATCTCAGAAAAAATATCTCACAGCAAAATTGTAATAGTTAATTGGATGATTTCAGTTGATCTGCACATTTTTATTGACTGTCATATGGTATCGTTTACTATATTTAATATTGTTTATAGGTCTATATAATAGTTTTTAAAAAATATTTGCAGCATAAATGTGTCGTATTGCATTAAACATGTTAAAATTCAGATTACTAATATAGTATGTGAAGATTAAAGAAATTTTCCGATAGCCAGCTTAGGTGGGCTTGCCAAACATGAGACAATCCTACCACGTCAAGTGGACAAAACTAGATCAAAGGGAATTAAATAACAATAAAGACACACCTTTGTAACAAGGTGGCCGCCCGCTTTGATGGCAGAGACATAACTTAAGGCACGGGTTCCCAAACTGAGGGTCGCGAAGGGCTTTCTGGGAGATCGCCAACTGGTAGACTAAACCCTAGCATTGAAAAAAACACGTAAATATCTAGAAGAGTATCTGAAATTCGGCTTTACTAACATCAGTGAAAATGGAATAGAGATGAAGCAATGCCTTCTGTATGAAGTTGTTCTCAGTCATGAGTTTATGAAATCTTCAAAACTAAAACGTCATTTGAGACGAGTCGTTCGGAACACACCAAAAAAGATATGGAGTTTTTTCATCGGCATGAAGCTAGTTGCAATCGTCAGAGACTTAATCGAACAGGAAGTTTTTACCAAAGAAACACAGCATTAATGCAAGCTACAAATGAAGTCGCGATAGAAAATGCAAAGCAAAAAAAAAAAAAAAACACAATAGAAGAAAATCTCATCAAACCCTGCATGTTGAAGATAGTGAAGTTAATTCTTGGGGATTCCAGTGCAGTAAAGATGCAACATACATCTCTGCCTAATAATACTATTCAGCGGCTTATAGCAGATGGGTTAAAACGGATGTGGGCGTTTTTACGGATGGTGTGCCATCTACGTTCAGGTCAAAAACGGGCTTTCAGAAAACAGAAAAGATTTAGCTCCCTAACCACTGTCCTTGCCATCATGACTCCATTGCTAGTAAAAGTCGTAAATTATATTAAATCTGGAGCCTTCAACGAACTGAGCAAAGACATGAATAAAGATCACGAGGTTCTGCTTTTCTACACTACAGTACGCTGGCTGTCAAACGGAATGTTGTGAATCGTGTTTTTGAATTGAAATCTGAAATCATATTGTTCTTGGAAGCGCAAAGGAAACAAGACCTTTTGGTATGCTTAAAACGACATAGAGTGGTTGGAGAGAGTATGATACCTTGCTGCAAAATCGGCGAAGAAAATAAATCTTGACAATATTGTAAATTTGAGAAACTATGCACTGTGCTAGATGAATTTGATTGTGAGATAATTAAAATATTGAAAGAAGCGATTTCTGGGCATCTTAAATCTCTTGAAACCAAAATACAGCGCTATTTCTCTGAGCTGAAAAATGAAGAATCTGCATTGACGCACTACCCATTCTGTTCTTCCCTTGATGTTGCCAGCATTCCAGATGAATTACAAGATACATTCTTTGATTTGCAGAATGATTTCGCGTAAGATGAAAAAATGTTCACAGAATTTTGGTGTAGTATTCACCATTCATACCCAAACGTAAAATTGATTGACTTTTCGAGAATAGATTTTCAACACTATTCTCCGATTATAAAAAAAATTAAGAAATAAAGTGAATGTTGATAATGACATAGGTTGGCGTTAATAAAAACTTAACCTCGCATGTTTGGTAAATAGCATGCAGTTTTAATCATGGTATTAAAACAGTTATCAAGAGTAGTTCATATTGAAAGTCTACTAGAAAATCTTATTTTAGTGCTTATTAATTTCCATACTAATTTCGGCTTTTTAATTCTATGGGGGTCGCGGGTCACTTACTTTTTATAAAAGTGGTTCGCCAGTCGAAAAAGTTTGGAAACCACTGCCTTAAGGGAACGAAATCCACACTCCATGAACAACACAACTAACATCTAAAGTCAATAGTTATGCGTCGGTCACACCTTAGTGATTAGGTGACAAAAGCTTATTTAAGACGAACATCGGTCAACTCGGAGCTAAGTTTGTCGTAGTGTGCATGCAAACAAAGCAGTATTAGTGGTGATTACTCAGCTATGGCCTCTATCGTTACCTCGCAGAAAGGGTAGAGGACATTCGCTTCTGGTGATTTATGTTTATAAAAGCCAGAAGTGGAACAGCAGGCAAAGTGATTTGGAAATGTGAAGATAGAATATGTAAAGCAAGAGTTCATACAATACGTGATCACATAGTATTGGAGAGGTGTGATCATAACGATGTACCTGCCGGCATAGAAACGTAAGCGTTTCGTTTGTGTTCATGATGCAATAAAAACAATAATTTAACGTTACAAACCTAAAGACCCATTCACATTTTTGAAAAATATTTCGCGTGTTTTGAACATTAATGTTGTATGTTTGTTTTATACATTATCATTTATTATACATTTCAGGAATAGGTTAGTTTTAATTTTTACTTTTTTAAATCAAATGCTATTAGAAGGATTAAGTTTAATAAATGTTTTGATGCTTTGTTAAGTTTAACAGATTCATTTTACTCACAATTATTACGCGTAAACATAAATAAAAACATATTGACAGTCAATAAAAAAAAGTTCAAATCAACTAAAATCATCGTACATACTTTTAAAATTTTGCTGTGAGATATTTTGTCTGAGATATTTTGTCTGAGATTATTTGATAATAATATCATTTGTCCTTATATATTTTGTCCTAGTATCTTTCGTCCGTGAGATCATTTGTCCTGAGATCATTTGTCCGTGAGATATTTTGTCTGAGATATTTTGTCTGAGATCATTTGTCCTGAGATCATTTGTCCGTGAGATATTTTGTCTGAGAACATTTGTCCTGAGATTATTTGTCATGGAACCGGTCGAATTCGTGCTTTCAGATTAAAAAGTAAAAGATCTAGCTCCGAAATTAACGGGAATCGACACAGTTCACCATTAGGCCCCAGTCAGGAAGTTTCTTCCTCCTCTCTTACAAAAACTACGATAATAAACATCGCTCATTACGTTCAATCTGGAGCCTTTGAAAGCCATCTGTTTAACCCATTAACGCCGACTGTCGCGAAAACGCGACAAACCGATTTTGCGCTTAGCATAAATTATACGCATACTATTATCCTACTTCTGCCGGTACCTTTACTAATATTTAAGAAAAGACCCACAAACCATTGCATTACTATTGAGTACCCACATCAGTGGCATTCTACTGGCATTTAATACAGTGTTATTGAGTACCCACATCTTCAGCACTGAGTACCAACATCAATGACACTGTACACCCACAGATTCTCCACAAAGTAGGCTACCCACAGCAGTGATACTGAGTACCCACTGCTAAGGCTAAGTACCCACAGCAATGTAATCGATTGCCAACGACGCCAGCACTGAGTACCTATAGCAGTGTCAGCAAGAACCGACTGCAGTAACACTGAGTACCCACAGCTTCAACACTCAGTAAACTTCTTAAATACCATTCAATCTGGAGCCTTTGAAAGACGTCTGTTTAAAAAGTAGTACAAAAATATGGATTCTGTATTTTGTTTAATAAATACATGCTCATCCAATTGTGATGTGGCATGTACCTTCTATACTCTCATGTGGCATGTGTTAGGTCAGAATTCCACAAACATACATTCACTAGATATTTACAGGGTACACTGTTTGCATGTTCCTGTATGAAGCTGTTCTGGTACCCGCTGTTCCTGTATTGCATGTTCCTGTATGAAGCTGTTCTGGTACCCGCTGTTACTGTATTGCATGTTCCTGTATGAAGCTGTTCTGGTACCCGCTGTTCCTGTATTGCATGTTCCTGTATGAAGCTGTTCTGGTACCCGCTGTTACTGTATTGCATGTTCCTGTATGAAGCTGTTCTGGTACCAGCTGTTCCTGTATTGCATGTTCCTGTATGAAGCTGTTCTGCTACCCGCTGTTACTGTATTGCATGTTCCTGTATGAAGCTGTTCTGGTACCCGCTGTTCTTGTATTGCATTTTCCTGTATGAAGCTGTTCTGGTACCCGCTGTTCTTGTATTGTATGTTCCTGTAAACTAAACTGTGCTGTGCAACGAGCTCCCGTAACAACTGTTCCCGCAAGACGCTATCCGTTTAAGAAGTTGTTCCTGCAACAGACGTCCTTAAACAACGTTCCCATACGAAGTGTCCCTTGGCCAGTCTAGCAAGTCACGAAGTGAGCCGTGTGAAGACTACGCTGATGTCTACCCAACTCATCGTTGATGTCCTTTAGTCTACCAACCCAGAAGCCCAGTGTATTTTGTGTGTGAGCGTGTGAAGGTGCAGCAGCCTGCTGATATATTGGACCAGCACTCCTGACCTACAATCACACTCTGGGGTAAGTGCCTTTTGTATCAGCCCTCGTGCGGTGCTCTCGGCAAGCAATGACTCTGGTTTTCTTCTACCATTGGGTTTAGATATACCCGCGTGAAATTCTCTATAGTCGTAGAGGTTAAGTAAACTTACTGAGTTGCCATTACTGGGGTTTCTTGGTTATTACTTGGCAATGGGACAGAAGTATAAAATTTGCCAAGAGAGTAAACTACTAGAGTGGGCTGAAAATAAACTAGCAGAAGCAGAAGAAAAACATAGAGAGGAAACAAAACTAAATATAGAGTTAGTCGAACGAGAGGCTAAGAGAGCTTTAGAAAAACTAAGAATAGAATCAGAAGAAATGTTTTAATTAAAAACCCTCGAATTGGAGCAACAAAGTTTGGGTAACCAACGGGTAGTTGAACAAACAAAATCATATGTCCCACGTCTTAAGCTGATTAGCTTAAAAAGTAACGGTGGTCCAATGGACATGGAGGTAGTGATAGATATTTTTGAAAAAGAAGCTAGAGAGGTAGGGTTAGATCAAAGATATTGGTGCCATGAGTTCAGGAAAGTTCTGTTAGACAGAGGCTGTGATGCCTGGTTAACTGAGCTAGGAGCAGAAGAAGACTACACCAAATTAAAACGAGAATTTCTGAAACATTTTGGACTGACAGAGTCAGGCTACAGCAATAGGTTTAACTCATCCAAACCCAACTCTGAGGACAAACCAGGAAGCTACATTAGGAGAACTAGACATTGTTTGAAGAGATGGGTCGAACTAAGCGGGATAGAGAAAACTTATGACGGTCTGTTTGATCTGATTCTTAAAGACAAAATCTTAAGGACAGTAAGTGACCCTAGGACTGTTGACGAGGTGGAGAAACAGTGTGACAACTATTTCGCTATATTCCCGACGAAACAGCTAGGCGACTCTCCAGATGCACCGACAGAACTTATAGCTACAATAGCAGAACCAATGCATCAAAAGATGACCGACGTCTTAGTAGATCAAATTCTCCGCACTCTAGACACAGCTATAGACACAACACACGTAGCTCGAAATCACCGCAACTCTGGACCTCGCCTATCACACTTCACAAGATATAGACAGAATTCTGACTCAGACAGTGATAGTTATGTCCAGTCACCGGGTCCATCTCGACAAACTACACGGACTTATAACAACTCGCCTCGACCACAAACTAAATGTTTTTCATGCGGCCTAAAGGGCCATATAGCAGCTGATTGTAATGTCGATACCGAGCGGACACAACGACAGGGGCGTAATAATTCACCTAATGTGGATAAGAGCAGAAACAAACAGAAGAAGGTCAGTTTTAGAAGCAAAAAAAGATGACTAGTCCCGGAGTTTAGTGGAGAGTGCGAGGATTGCGATCAGTGTATCAACCACATGAAGTTTACCTTGCCAATATGGAACATAGTTAGCGATCTGTGGGAAAAACATTGCAAGGGAAAACTACCGATCGTCTCAGGGAACCAGACAGTTACTGTTTTGCGCGACACTGGTTCTGTAGTCATAGCGTGTAGGAAAAAGTGGACAGAAGTAGATGGAATCGTGGTAGGATGACGATTAAGACAGCCAACGGTGACAGCAAGAGAGTGCCTAGAGCGTTGGTGAGCATTGAAACTCCTTATCTTACTGGAGAGATTCTAGCCGTCCTCAAAAATTGTTGGAAGTCTGCAAAAAAGGGCAATAAGAAGTATACAATTGTAGACGGTTTGTTGTTCAAAGTCGTCGGACACAGTAGAGGGGAAGATCAAATTCGTTTAGTCGTTCTATCAGCACTTAGAGATACTGTGTTAAAACTAGGCCACGACACACCCATGGCCGGCCACATGGGGTTGGCTAGAACCAAAGCCCGGATCTTCTCAGAGTTTAGATGGCCAGGCGCAGCTGGAGACATAAGAAAGTACTGCTACAGTTGTGACACATGCCAGAAAGGCAAGAAGAATATCGGCATAAAGCGCCGCTAGGTAGATCACAAGTGGTTGGACAACCATTTGCCAAGTTAGCTATTGATATTGTAGGACGATTAAGGCTTACACAGAAGAGAAATGGGTTTATCCTAACGGCTATAGATCTACGTACACGATGGCCTGAAGCGGTACCTCTTAAAAGTATAACTGCATCGGAGGTTCAAGATGCTCTGGTCTCAATTTTTACTACAATGGGATTCCCTGAAGTTATTTTGTCGGATAATGGGTCCCAATTTACGTCAGAAATTTTCAACAAGGTTTCGAAGCTGCTAGGTATTAAACTGGGGAAGTTGAAAGATAGAATGGTACTTTCAAGGAAATGCGGAGAAAAATCACAGCAGATAGACAGGAAGACTGGGACGAATTTATACCGGCAGCTCTGCTTGCCTACAGGGAAGTCCCAAATGAAATCACTGGCTATTCACCCTTCGAACTCATGTTCGGTAGAAAAGTCGGTAGAAAAGTTAGTGGACCTATGAACATACTCAGGTCCATTTTTACAGGCGAAGGAACTAGTGACTGTAAGACTAGGTTAGCATATGGCTACTTACTTGACTTAAAACAAACATTACAGCCAGCGTGTAGGCACGCTACGAGAAAGACAGAAATGAGTAAAGATAAATACAAAGAGTAATATGACAAATCAACAAAAGTAAAAGACATTAGAATTGGCGACCATGTGCTGGTCCTAAAGCCTCAACTGCTAAACAAGTTAGAGCAGCTTAGATGTGCAGGGCCTTACGAAGTTGTTAACAAAAACTCAGACCTAGACGATGTTGTTAGAATCGGTGAGAGGACTAAAGTCTTCCACGTAAACCGGATCATACTGTATCACCACAGGAATAATTCAGATACGTCCAAAACACATCCCATGCTAGCGGCCGTATCAGGTGATATCGAAGAAGAAGAAGAGGAGCCTGAGTGGGGCAATGATCCGCAACCGGGTGTCCCACCGGTTAGGATTAGAACGCCTGACGTGACAGAACCCACCGACCTAACCACATTTCAAATTAACGGAAAACTCTCCGAGTCGCAACGTACAGACCTACATCGTCTGATCCATGAGTTCAAAGATGTTATTAGTAATATACCAGGTAGAACAAACTTAGTTGAACACAACATTGAGTTAAGTGACTTTAAACCCATTCGGATGAAACCCTATTCTATTCCCTACGCACGCAGAGAAATAATGAGAGCAGAAATTGAAGAAATTGGAAAGATTATGGATTATAGAAAAGTCAAACTCAGACTATAGCGCTCCAGTAGTTTTGGTCAAAAAGAAAGATGGGTCTGCCCGATTTTGTGTTGACTACCGCAGGCTGAACGCCGTCACCATATATGACGCTGAGCCTATCCCAGACCAAGAGGAGCTATTTGCCAAGTTGAATAGTGCTAAATATTTTACTAAATTAGACCTGACCAAAGGCTACTGGCAAATACCCCTCAACGATAAAAGCAAGAAGCTTACAGCATTCTCTACACCCTGGGGACTTTACCATTTTAATTATCTCCCTTTTGGTCTGTCTACCGCTCCTGCAAGCTTCGCCAGATTAATGCGTTTAGTTCTGAAAGGCTTAGAGAACGTAGTCTCATTCTTTGACGACATATGCATTTATAGTGACAGCTGGGGGGAACACGTTAAAAGCTTAGAGGCAGTATTTAGGAGATTAAGGGAAGCGGGATTAACTGTAAAACCGTCAAAAATAGAACTAGGATTTGAACAGGTAAGTTTCCTCGGTCATATAGTGGGAAGTGGAGTAATGGCACCTCAGAGAAGTAAAATAGATAAAATTCTAAACATTGCCATCCCAAGAACTAAGAGACAAGTGATACAACTTGTAGGCCTTATTAGCTATTACTCCAAATTTATCCCCAACTTCAGCAATCTTAAGGCGGTGCTGACTGACCTTTTGGCGAGGGATAAACCAGAGAGAGTTGCTTGGACAGAGGAGTGCAACAGGGCTCTTGGGCTGATACAGGAGCATTTAAACTTAGAGCCTGTCCTTGTCCTGACCGATATTAACCAGCCGTTCATACTCAGGATGGACGCCTCAGCACGCGGCATAGGCGCAGTGCTACTGCAGGCTAAAGATGTGGTGCTGCGGCCCGTCAAATATGTCAGCAGGAAGTTGCTACCGCGTGAGACGAGGTACTCAACAATTGAGAGGGAATGTTTGGCCATTATCTGGGCAGTGGGGAAGTTAGCACTGTACTTAAACAACGTACACTTTACACGCCAAGCGGACCAACGAGCTTTGAAGTATTTAAACAACTGTAGTTACATCAACTCTAGATTAACTCGATGGTCTCTATTGTTACAAGAATTTAAGTTTACTATAGAGCATATACCAGGCAAAGAGAATATAGTAGCGGACATGCTATCAAGGGAATAGAGAGAAAGAGTGATAGATGGTGGATTTTGAAAGTGTGAGTGCTAGACTCGCTATGTATTGTCACTAATTAGAATAGAAACAAAAAGTACACTTGAAATTTTATAATCGTTCTAATTGGCTCCAACGAAGTTTAA